TATATAATTTTATAATCACAAAGTTATAAGAATACAAAAATAAGAGCAACCAAGTTTTTCAATTAGGTTAAAACAAAGTTTGACTGTATTAAGACTTTTTAAAGTAGGCATTTTTAGTACATAATTAGTATTCACTGAAGAAAAAATTTTAAAGTGCCTCAAAATCAACAAATTTCCAAAATTTAAGTAGCTCTCTACTTCAAGGAAACAAGACTTCCACAATAAACAAAGCTGAGTTTTATACATTCCTTAGGATCGTCCATAAAGTACGTACGCTCGGAGGGAAGGAGGGGGTCTACAAATGGCGTATATGAGATCGGAGAGCAGTGGGTCAATTATAAAAGAAAGGTTCGAACCATCTTGCTGCTTCATTTTTAGTTTATAGCTCTCGTAAGTTTCTTTAATCCGTTGTTTGGCAGATCTTTATTTAATTATACATTAGCAAAGGCTAGAGTAGTAGTAGAGTTTAGTAGAGTGGTCAATTTCGGAGCGCTTGATAATGACTACTTTGACCTAAAACCAAAACATATATATTTTATGTTTATAATAAACACTGTTTAGAAAGATTGTGTAAAATTAAATTATTCGTTTTTAAAGAGGTATAAAGGTAAAGAGAAACTTGTCAAAAAAATACATTCTAAAATCTATATAGTCTTAATTATTAACAAGACTTTTTTTTTCAGCAAAAAATCTGTAAAAAATATTTAAGTATAAACATTTATCGTAGGTAATTATAGCTTGCAGTAAGTCTTAAACATTTTTTCAAACGGAGCAAGCACGCAAACTTTCAATTTTCATCATAAATCTTTGCATGATTTGGCATTGTGGAAGTTCACTAAATCTAACTTCACAAAATCAAACTCTCCTTTTACAAAATTTTTCATTATAAAATGTAAATATACGGCTGGGGCATAAATGGGCCCCTTTGAAATATAAATTTAAATAAAAAATTACGTTACGTTAAATTACACTTTTTCATTACATCGCAATTAAATATATACAAAAAATGCAGATACAAATATAAAAAGACTTTTTATTATTATTATTGTTATTATTATTATAATTATTATTATTATTATTATTATTATTATTATTATTAATTTTAACTTTTATTCATTAAGATTTCAAACTTAAATAAATAAAAAAGAGATAAAACATGAACAACATATTATCAATAAAAAGCTATTAAAATCAAGAATTTATTTACTCAAATTAAAAGAAAATAGACCTGAGATTTTAAATTTTAAAAGACATCATTAAAGAGTTTGAAATATAATTAAATTAAAACTTCTATTATGGATGTAACTCTTTATTAATTTTTATGCAATATTTCAAGGGATTATTGATACGCTCGTTGTCAAGTATATAAATATATATAAAAAAAACCGTTAAATTCAAAACAAAAACAAAAACAAATTAATGCGATAGTTTCTTTTCATTTAAATATCGAAACATAGGTTTCCAAAAGGAAGTTGTGACGTAACCTCCGTCGTCCTGATTTAGACCGCCGTCTGAAGGTGAGCATTCGTGGCGCTGTATTTCAAGCGCTTCCCTCACTTTTCTGTTAAAATTATTATTCTCTACTTTTAAGGTATTTTTATTGTTCCGTGTAAAATTGCCATGACAATTTTTTGAATGCTCCGCTATGGCTGAGTAATCCCAATTTCCTTCGTATGTATTTTTTTGATGTTGGTAAATGCGAGATGAGATTTTTAATTTTGTTTCACCGATATAACATTTCTTGCAGGAGCATTCAAGTTTGTACACACCTGGGTAAGAATTTATAGGAAGAGGAGGTTTATTTTTTGTGGTAAGTATATGTTGTAAATTTTTTGGAGATTTAAAAACTGGTGTATAACCTGCTTTTTTGAAAGCTTTTTTTAACTTCGGGCTAATTCCTGGAATTCACGGTAAAGATACAATATTTTTTGATGCAATTGATAAATGTTGAGTTTCAATATTTTGTTTTTTATTATATAAATTTTCTTTAGTGGTTTTTATAATATGTTCCAAGTTTGTTTTTTTATAACCATTTTCTACAAAAACATCAACTAGAAATAATAACTCTTGTTCAATATTATTATCAGAGCATAAATATGCCCTTTGAACAAAACCTTTGAAAATTCCGTTTATAATTTTTGGATCATGGCTTAAGTTAGGTTTGATTTGGACATTAGTTAAGGCATCTTTACAGGTAAACTTTAAAATCGTACGTACCAGTTTTATTGTTAGTAATAGTAGCATCAAGAAAGTTTAGCGTTTTATTTTCATTTTCGATTTCCACGGTGTACTGAATATTTTTATGTTGGTTATTAAGTAGTATTAAAAATTTTTTCGCATCTTCAGTAGAGTTTTTAACAGTAACAAATTGTTGAGAGTTTTTAAATGTGTATTGTTCTTATTGAGGATGGGTTGTATTATATCAGTTAAAAATTTAGAAATTTTGTATGTAGCCGTTCCAATAGTGCTTACGATAACTCGCATCGGGTAGTTTTTTTCA